CCATAAAGTGCATAAAACAAACACCCAGTAAGCACACAATGAATCCAAGCACTCAAATTGCGTTTTTAATACACCATATAAGGTCCTTGGGACAGTCACAAGAATAGCACATTAAAATAACACAGTAACAAAATCACAGTCAAGGATTTCTCCTTGTGGGAAATGTGATCTCATGGTCAACTGATCGGTCCATGAAATAAATGCAAAATAAGATATTTATGAAGCGAATTCTGGAGATCTAACATCCCCAACAAATACCTTGGCCATAGGGATAATTTCTGTTAAACATCTTTTTAAAGTAATAAGTCACATTTACTAATTTTAATGGAGTTATGAAAAAGCTCAGATTCATCTTCCTATTGTTCTATTAATATCTTTTCATTGGTCCAGCTAGTAACATTGGGAACAACAATAATTTTCTTAGACTATTATTTCATATCGAGTTACTTACTTAATTATTTACGCCGGTAACCCCTAATGGAGCATACATAGGCCGCTGACCGTTGTTCCTCAACCCTACTCTGTCGTGCACCTTCCTTTCCAGCTCTACCCAAATCCTATTCATTCGCAGTGTGCTCCTTGATCTACCAATTTTCCTTTGTCCGATGGGGGGTTTCCCCGATGAGTGATTCCGTAATGTGTGTCCTATTCACCCCTTTAAGTGCTTTTCTCCTAATTACTCCCTCTTCTGAAATCTTATTTGTTCGCTCCCATTGTGGATTGTTGCATTAGATTCCAATAGGAAAGAATAAATCTGTCAACCTTTCAAACAAAAACACCTAATTATCCAAAACAACACTTCTTACTTTAGTTATTTTTCATTTAAAAAAGTTATTTGTCTCTATATAAACAATCCAACTATTATCCCTCTTATTTAGACGTTGATTAAAAAGCTAGGAAGCATTGACAGCGATGACATGGCTTTGCTGTTCTACTTCATTTAAAAATAAGTTCAATGTGTATGGCACAAAGAAATATTTAGAATTTTCATTAGATTACTCTAGATTTTTATTTAACCCCCCTTTGTCTTATTGTCATCACCAAAATGTAATTAATCAATGCATACATTGATAATAATTTATCAAAATTCTATTCATTACTTAATTATTTTAATAAGTAATATTTATCCCCAAAAAAGATTATTATAAAACATATGGAGGCGAGATACAAGCAAGAACAATATCACTCCATATCTTACAGTTGAATAATTATATTATCTAAATAAAAACTATTTTTAGTTGATCTCTTCTCCTTTTAGCTACACATTCATCACAGTGGTATAAATCATTCACACTATAATGAATTGAAATATTCACAGAATATTCATTGACTAATGATAAAAAAAAGATAAGTAATGAAGTAAATAAGAACATTGTCAACAAATTGTAGTAGAGTTATGAAAAACAATCAACAAAGAATATAATTAATTATTTTGAGAAAAGATGAAGGTTTTGTTTTCTAATCAATGTAAATGTATACAGAAATTCTATTATAACAAGAAAAAAAAGATACCGGTTACTAATCCAAAAAAAAAAATAAGTTGGGCATGTTAGATCCCTAGAACTTGCTTGATAAATGCCTTATTTTGGATTTCATATTTACGAGCATGAGCTGATCAGTTAGTTGACTTTGAGATTTCATTTCCTATCAGGAAAATCCTTGGCTCTGATTGGTTACTGTGTTATTTTAATGTGCTCTTTTTTTATGACTATCCCAAGGACGTTTCAATGATGTATAGATAAACGAGATTTTGTGTGCTTGATTGTATTGGGCTTGCTGTGTGTGTTTGTAGAATATACTTTCTATGCTGTATCAAGACTTCTGTTTTGCCGTTTTGGGATCAGAGTAGCCTACCGGGATGCTGGTTCATTGCCTCGTTCGCGTTTTATCGACTAAGGCGAACCCGTAATAGTTTCAAATGTACCTAGTGACGAACCTACCATAAAAATATACCGGTTACTAATCAAAAATAAGTTTCACAAAGGTAAGAAATGATAGAATATTTTAAATGATAACATAAAGTCAACTCAAAAACAGTTGGTTCATTTTTAATTAAAAATTATTCCATTTGTAAAACTTGATCGCATTGAATAGAGGCAAGTAGAAAAAAATCTTTAAGTTTCACAAAACATCCCATTAATTATTGATATTATGATATACATGAGCATTATGTAATGATGATGTTATTCATAAGTTAAACTTTTATTTACTTACCTTATTGTTACCTAAATGGTTTCTTCAATTTTTGATTTTTCCCCTAAGTGCAATTAAAGAAATTGAGAATATAATGAGAAGCTATGAATTATAACGTAAACAGAAGTCTATAGAAAGACTATGATGAATTAGAGAAAATATCCTTTTATCAAAACTTGATGAGTGCTAGAAATTAGAGTTGTAAATGTGCATCAATACGAAGTCCTAACTGAAAACTAAGTAGTAACGGCGTACTTCATTCGTTTACCGTTAACTGATGAAAGCTTGTCGTGAACATTGTTTCTGATTACATAATCAATTATATGAAATCCATCTCATGATATTTTACAGTTGTTCTATGAAAATAAACTAACTTCAGCTACTTGTATGTCATTAAATGAAAACCAACATATTGAACAACCATTTCGTAACAGTTTGAGAACTCTCTGTACTGATCACCGACAAACATCGAGAGTTTTAGATTTAAGACTTATGATTTGTAAAACGATTTCTCTACAATTAAGCGTTAAGATGGAATTGTTTCATAAACATTTTCAGCATCGTTTCACTCAATTATAATGATAATAATTTGAAATAGACCTAAACAACTGTCAACTAGTCAATAATATTCAAATGTTAACATGGCTAGAAACTTACTAGAAGCATACTCCGAATATTTTTATATGATTTCAACACACACGCAGTTTAATAACATGATTTCACATATCGAAAAAAGAGACTTTGGATTGTAGCGCTTCATAAGTTTCTTATTATTCATTTTGATTTTTTCTCATGTTTAGGTCATTCCGGTGTGAATCAATTGGGTGGAATGTTTGTCAATGGTCGTCCATTACCGGATACAACACGTCAACGTATTATCGAGTTAGCACATTCTGGTGCACGTCCATGTGATATATCACGTATACTACAAGTATCTAATGGTTGTGTTTCGAAAATTCTATGTCGTTATTATGAAACTGGTTCCATACGACCAAAAGCAATTGGTGGAAGTAAGCCGAGGGTTGCTACAAATGCTGTGGTCACAAAAATTGATATTTATAAACGTGAATGTCCATCAATATTTGCTTGGGAAATACGTGATCGATTATTACAAGAAGGTGTATGCACACCGGATAATATACCTAGTGTAAGTTAAGTGATTTTTTTATGTCATTAATTAAATTGCACCAAAATCTCTCAACCATATAATTGTCTCTTTGACGTTGAATCGTTCATAGACAATAAATTCTGGATTTAAGTTTAGTGCCATTCAAGACTCGTCAGAAAGAGGCACTTGTAAAATTGAGGGGACTAATAGTATCTGGAAGATTCGACTTTGCGTTGCTGGGCTTCACAATCAGAGACATTACAACTGAACTATCTGAACAGCCACCCAGAACCGAGATGTAGTGTTTACTGTTGATTACGTCCAACTATAACTTTACACCTCAACACATGGTACTCGATTTCGGGTCACTTTGATTAATGGTCACAGGAGGGATATGAAGTATATGGCCTTGGTCATTACTCGCTGACCAAAGACATGTGATTCCTTTGTTTGGCTTTGTATTTCCTTGTTTTTAAGGTCTGCAACTGTATTTGAGCATACTGAGTGCAGGTCATTTAGTTAAAAAAAGATTTGAAAGTTTGTTAGTACAAGACCATCGAAATCCAGGATTGACACTTCATCCTGTTCAGAACTTGTTAACTGGATTAGTTTAGTCTTTTCCAACTAGTGATCATATTGGGAACCGATCGATAAAATTCAATCAAAGCTACATATTAGATTAACATTGTTACTCAGCCATCATATTTGCATACTTTGCTTCAATTTACTTTAGAGCTTAAGCTTTTTTTTTTATCTTCAAATTACACTAGTTACTAGAATTATCAATTAAAATCATTTTAAAATAACATTGATAGTTGAATATACTGTAAACATATCAGAAATCTAATCAAACTGAATGAAGATTGTTGAAGATTGATTGAACAATGAACAACAACAGATTGAAATTAGTATTATGATAATCTTGATCAATTTGATTAATCTGATAAGATTTATTTTTTCCTCAATCTACGAATTCATATTTTTTTTTAAAAAGAAATGAAACATTTTTTTGACATAGATACTCCATGATCAATTGATGATTAGAAATAAACTACAAAAAATTCATTGTCATTTCATTGACAATGAAATGAATTGTTATGAATGTTCAATTGTTCAATAAATATTGAACAAGAAAAAAAAGAAGGATGTGAAGATTTAATTCTTTTTTTTTTAAAAAAAAACAGTAATATCCTACTTTTCAATTAAATTAGAGTTTTTTCTTTTGTGATTTTCATGGTAATAAGATAATTTTCTTCGATTTGAAAATATTTCTTTCTTTTTTAAATGTATACAACATGTCTTTTTTATTGTTTGGTAATCAAATTTTAGAAAATGAAATAAAGAAAGACATATAAACCTATTTTTTTGTTGTTGTTGGTGAAATTAACTAGATAATCTCTGTTTTGCAGAGTGATTAGTTTATATTAGGCTATGCGAACATTGAATCAATGAATAACTGTGTCATTTTCTAGATAAGAATTATAAAGTGATTAGTGAACAATGAACAATTGAATGTTTGTTGAATAATTTTTTTGTTTAATCTCATTATATTCTCTCTGTTGTCAGTGAGTTAGGGAATTTTTGTGAAAGAAATAAGAAGTAAAGTGACAAGTGACTATTAAATTAAACGGGTTTTTTCTTTCTATTAAAAAGAATTAATCTTATGTTTCATTTCTTATCACCCTGATCAATGAGTGTGACTGAGTATGAGTATAAGTATGCGGTCTATACAGATTGGTGTTTCTTTGATTAACAAATCCTTTTTTTCATTGAAATTATGTGATCGATGATCACTGTTAGACTAGCATTAGAAACCTGGAAGCAATGCATGTCCTGGTATGAGACTCTTCAGCAGTCAGTATCCACTACCCCCGTACACGTGATACAAACCCAGGAGCTTCGGTCTCGCGTGCGAACACTTAACCTCTAGACCACTGATGGCATTCAATAGTGTTAATATTTAAGTTCAGTTATTCAACGACGATGTGCGACCTCACCCATATTCTTCAGTGAAAACATATGAGGCAGTTCATAATTGTCCTACACGCTTGAACTCCATTAGTCACGGCTTCTCAATAGAACTTCGAGAATTTCATCATGAAGCTGGTCACCATCGAGCACAAATTATGTTTTCATTATAGAGTTATAGAGACTGTTGAGTTTTAGTGAAAAAAACATAAAAGTTAATCGATTACATAATAATTACAATAGTTGGAATTAATAAATTAAATATTTGTCAGTAAACATAAATCATTATAGTAAAAAATCAATATTAAAATTCTATGAGCAGAGTTTAAGTTGATTACTGACAAAAAAAAGGTTGATCTTTAATAATGTTCATCTTCTTCATTCTAATTATTATAACTTGAATTCAAGAGATTTTTTTCTAATTGACCGACTTACACTTATAAAAAATGAACTTGTCATTTAGAGAATACAATTGGTTGTATTATATACGGAGTAAATATTTATACTACTGACTACTGGTTCACGAGTCTACAGGTTAAGTATTCGCGTGTAAAATCGAGAGTCTTGTGTCCGACTCCAGTTGGCACAGTTATGAATACACATTTCTGAGGAGCTCCATACTAGAACAATATGACAGTCTAGTGCTTTAAGGTTTTCAGTAGTGGTCTAACCAAGATCATCTCTTGATTTCAAATGTGAAAAAAACCTGTGAGCTTCACAAATCTCCTGTAGTAATTGTTGTTGGATGAAATGTAAAGCAAGGATGAGTTCAAACAGATGGTTCAGTCTGTTATTTAACATCACGTAACAAGTATAGTGTTCAGAATACATGAAACTTTAGGAAACATTCATTTTCATTAATATGGACTGAAAAGAAAAGTGTTGAAAGTGTTAAATCCTTACCTCTTTCCATTTATATTATACATAACAGTTAAATCAAAAAGTTTTCATTTGAGTTTATTAAGTTCACAACAAACTAAAAAAGAAATTCACTTTCATAATTGTTTACTAAATAACGATTTCAATACATGACTTTCTCTTATAGTTAGATCATAACTTTATCAAACTAACTCTCTATAAGTTCACTAATTAAGATTTTGTTGGTAGTAACTATATGTAGCTATGAGGAGGACTTATTAAAAACAACCTTTAGAATGAAGTCATATGTAGATATTTTCATAACTGAAAATAAACCTTGAAAGACTCTTGGCTCATTTTTAGCCAAGATGAGTGGTGCACAGTAATGGATTTCGTCCTCCCAGAGTTGATGTTCAATCCAAGTTTTGAACTTAGTGCCATTTACTTGAAACGCTGTCACATTGTCCATCTAGCTTCTAAGTCCAGATGGCTGTTAACTTTGAATCTTCCCATTGATGGTTGAGACTGCAACAGATCAGTCTGGTTTAGTAAATGTGCATTTTGTGCCAAATAGATAGCATGATGGCGCTCGAGGCATATTGTACTGGGTTCGAGTCCCAGAGTGAAAATCAACTCTGTGAAACAGGCACACCTAACTGACAAGTTTCAAGTAGGACGAAACGCGCGTTCTGGATTCCACTGTTAGCCACCATCCCTATCTCTGTCTATAGTGCTTGTGATTTAATAGCGATACTGAGGCAACCCACACAGGATGCGCCTATACCGAATGATATTTATGAGTTACAATCCTAGTTCAAGAAACCAATAGAAATAAACTTTTGCTTATCTGTAGAAAAACAACTTCAAAATCTCAAGGTCACTTTAAATAATGCCTTAGTTCATTCATTATTGTTATATATATATATATGATTCTAATGATGACCTAACATTAATCAATCCATGATTTCAATGAAACTCAATAATCCACACTACCTTATAATAAAAAAAAAATCGTAGCTCTATAGTTTTTTTCCTATTCAAACACTGATTATTTTTTCTTTGAAGATTATAATACAGAAAATATATCTATGTTATTATGAATCCTAAACATCTAGAGTTCACTTTTACATGACATCAATCAGTTCTTTAGTATTTTAAATGTGTTATATCAACAAAACGAATGAATCCTAAGGTTTTTTTTAACTTAAACGGTTTGAATTATTTTCTCTGGTTAGAATAATTTTTAGTGAGTTGGTTCTCTACAAGATGGAGTCGCTAACCCCATGTCCAACCCTTCTCCGGGCTTGCGACTGCCAGTAACCCTAGAGGGGCTCCAAACAGAGTCCTTCTAAGTACACTGAAATGACCAGCACGTACTGATTTAATTCACCAACCTGACTTTTTCTTCATACCAAGCCTTTTTTTACCTTCTGTATCAAAATTAATGAAATATTAATTGAAAGATATTTAAGAGTGTCCATTGTATTCCCAGTATTAATTAGCTAATCAACTAAACCCTACTAAAATAGTAAATTAATGTATTGATTATCAATATATAATCTTCTTTTTATTGATTGATCGATTGATTTATCCTAAAAGGTCTCATCAATTAATCGAGTTCTTCGTAATTTATCCAATGAATCACAAAGACAGCTGACATCAGCTGCTGCAGCGGCTGCTGTAGCTGCAGCTGCTGTCGCCGCCCAAGCTGTTGTACACAGAAATGGAGTGAATTCAACTGGAATCAATGCTGCCAATAGAAATAATCATAATCTATCAACACAAAATTATTTAACCAATATGAAATGTGATTTACATGGTTTAACAAAATCATTTATGCCATCAATGTTTAATTTTACATCATATCATGTAACAAACAATGATAATACAAGTAGTAATAATAATAATAATAATAATAATAATAATTTATTTAGCATGCCACCTTCTATACCTCAATTCTATAATCAACAGAATTCAAATTTCAATAGACATTCTACTAATTGTTTTAATGATCAAAATGCTATTGAATCACGTAGAACTATACCGAACACATCACATACACATTCAACGAATACAATTTATTCTAATCTAAATAATAATCTCAATAATAATAATAATAACAATTCACATTCACCGACAATATCTTATTTTCAAACAGGAACTAGTATAAACAAGCCAGTACCGTCAAATTTTAAACATGACCATTTACAACCAATGCGTTTATCATATGATAAATTTAATGATTTATTAATGCCTACTACATCAGGCACATCATCACAAACATCATGGGCACAAGCATGGTATACAGCAGCAGCTGCTGCCTCAGCAAATAATGTTTATTCTAATTTATATAATTCATCAAATTCATTAAATCAAAAAAATGAATTTCAACATGAAAGACAATTTTCACCTTCATTAAATTATTTAAATCATTGTGGATTTAGTGGATTTTATCAAAGTCTTGAAAATGCAGTGAATTCAGTCAGTGATACGAATTTAGGCATGAAGTGTTCCGAGAATGTAGAGATCAATAATGAACTAGATGCGCGAAGTTTAAATGAATCATCACCGCAATGTTCTGATCATCATCAACAACAGCAACATCACCATCATCGTCATCCTCAAGAGAAAATATCTATGCTATCACATCAATCTCTGCATAATGCATTGCCAGCATACAATGAAAACAGTTCACCAATGCATCAATCATTATTATCAAATAATTTTGAATCGAAACACGACACCAAATGGTCATTCAATACAGATTTATTATGTCATCATAACAACAGTCAGCATCATCAACAACACCAGCATCAAACTGTACATCAACAAACTGAAAACCATCAGAGATTGAATACTAATTTATTTAAATCTGAGACAGAAGAATTTAAACAATTAGTGTCATCTCTAGATGATAAAGAAAAGACTTATCGACAGAAAAGAAAATTTCCAATAAACCCATTGTTTACTTATGAAAATATAAGTAATATAAATGAGAACACGGTAAATTTTATGCAATCCAATAAAGATGATTTTATTAGCACAAATTCACACAATTATTTATCACGTAGAGATATACAAAGTATTGATGAACAATCATTTTCTCATGTACATGATGTGCATAGAATGAATGAATCGCAAGTGGGCATTGATGATGAAGAAGATGATGATGGTGATGACGTTGAAGATGATGAGTGTGTAGATGACACAGTTAATTGTAATACAACTATTAGCTCAGTATCAACTGCTTCATGTAGTAATAATAACAGTATAAATCAATCGTTATCATTGTCTTCTGTGAAAGATTTAAATTCAAAGTTAACAGCAAATCTATATCTTAAACAAATAACCAATTCCATAGAAAGAAACGTTGACAGTGAAACTTGTTCATATAAAAATTCTGTCAATGAAAATCAAATTAATTGTGATAATGATTTCACAGAAAATAATCAGTTACTTGTGAAAAGTAAGTTTTAAATTATGAGGATACTATTATATATTATTGACTTACGCCTATTACCTTTTGTAAAGTAATCTCTTACCTACCTAACTTTTCTAGAGTTCACCTTTCCAGTTATTCCCAAGTGCTATTCATACTTTTCTAATCCTACTTCAGTTCTGGGCACAGTGTGTTCCATGATCTTCGACTCCATCGTTCTCCTTGAGAATCCCATGTGAGGTCTTGTCTTTTTATGCAAGCTAGAGATTTCCTCTAGGTGCGTCCTAACTACTCCCACCGCTTTTTCCTAATTTCTCCCTCACTTAGAAGCTGATTTGTCCTCTCCCAAAGGAATTTATTACGGATGGTGTATGGACAATATATTCAGAGCATCTTGTCTAGACAAATATTTATATGTGCCTGTATCTTTTGGATGATTGTTAAACAAACTCGACAAAAATGACATTGATCACTAATGTAATCGATCAGGAGGTCCATTGTCTCCAGAATAAATCAATGAGATTGGCTGATACACGTTCGAATAACACTGCTGACAATTGGTAACTAACACGGAACATCACTTTGAAAATTCACCTCCAACTGCCTAGCATTGAATCACGTAAATGAAGAATGACGTTTCAAAATGATCGACAGAATTCAACCAACAATGAACACTAGAAATAGATAAATTTAAATTACTATTCAGTGATTAATCAATGTGCTACCGAAATTTGTAATTTATTATGTTGTAAAAACTAGCTGGTGTACATTTCTAACGTTGATCGATAAATAAAATACTAACTGTACCATACTGTAGATTTTATAAAGAGGTTATATTCCATTATCTATGAATAAGTTTTCTTGATTTCGTATCGCTCAGTTATCTCCTAGTTGTCTCTTCAAATCTTTAGGTTCGGTATTGAGCATCCAAAAATTTTTTTTTACCACCTAAACGGATAAGAAAACTTATAATGAATAAATAATACACGAATGGGGATGAAAAAAATTTCAAATGGAGTTAGTCTGCCATCAAGTTTTCCCAATAATTATTTATTTAAAACAAATAAATCATTGTCAACAATATACAATATTCAATATCCGAAATTCCACAGTGAACTAACAACATAGAATCCGTTAACATGATACGACAATATATTTACACAATGTTAGAAATAACAAGGAATATTCTCACTGTTCACACACGTCAACCATGAGTCCTATAGAAAAAAATGAAATAGTACTAGTTAGTGATGAATCCTTACAAATGCTTGTATAGTAAAATGGAAAGCAATCACAGTCAAATGTTGAGTAGTCATTAATCTATAGAATGAATTCCATCTTGGTCGCGTTATTTGAAGTTGTAGAATTCATCATTGAATGGTTAATTTGACAGAAAGTTCACTCTAATATTAAATTTTTATTGTTTTATATCATTAAAAATCACATTTAAACGACAAAACGATGCATATTAGTTAGCTATCATATCTAAGCATTTAAAGTGGATTATAACACACATAACAAAACGTTTTTGGTCAGTTATAGTCAAAAAAGTATGGAGAACATTTATTCGTTTTGTAAATAAGTATTGACAAAGAAATCAATAAAAATAATTCTCATTTTCATTTCAAACATGTTGCATGTGAGGCAGTAACCCACCGAAGGTAATGGATGAGGTCACTCAATATCGTGAAGTGACTGAAGTTAGATTTTAACACCACTGGATGACGTTATTGATCTAGCGATTAAGTGTTGCCGCGCGAGACCAAAGGTCCTAAGTTCGACTACCGCCAGCAAGTGGTCGTGAATGCGCGCTGCTGATGAGTCCTATACTAGGAAGAAAACATACTCCCATTGCTTCTAGATTTCTGATACGGTGATCTAACAATGAGTGATTCATGATTTTAATATAAATTAATTTTCTCTTATTTCTATTTGATCATCTCCAATGAACTATTTTTCTTCTTAGGAGGATTAAATTCAGAATATTTTGAGCGAGAATTCACTGAAAACTTTACAAGAAAATTAAAACAAATCAATTCAGGCCATCAATATGAACAACAATATGAACTGATGAAAATAAATCGAATGAATGAACTTGTACAGGGGAATCACAACAGCCAGACAACTTTACAACCACCAACATCATCATCATCACCGACAACAACAACAACAACGTCAACTTCATCATCAGGAAGAATAACAACAACACTCACAGAGAATATGAATAAATGTATACAATTTACTAATAGTAATAATGATCTTATTACTAATACCACTACTGATACTACTAATACTACTACTAGTACTAGTAACATGACTGCCACTAATACAAAGACTATTACTAATAGTATTAATAGTAGTAATATACTAAATGAAAAAAATAATTTTATGTTAAATCAATTAAATACACAATTTTATCATCATGAATTAAATGAAACACAAGAAACATTTTTAGAAACATTACATTCACATCAAATACAACAATCAAGAGAAATAATTAAAAATAAACTCTTTCTTGATGCAGATAATTCAAATCTGTGTGCGAAAACAATCAATAAAAGACCAAATAGTATTACAGCTATTGTTCAATCCACGTCAGCATCAGCATCATCAGGATCAGTATCATCAGTATCATCGTCAATTAGTCCTAAATCTGAATTGAATGAAAGATCAAATTCTGTGTTAAGTGAATTCAATTTATCACAAATAATAATGAATGATGAAAAATATCCAAATATTAAACAGAAACAACAACACCGTCATCATCATCATGATCATGAGGAGCAACTTCAGCAGCAACAGCATCAGCAACGTAGTCGTACTTCATTTTCTAATCATCAATTAGAAGAACTTGAAAGAGGTAAGTTATTTATTGTTGTTGTTGTTGTTGTTTTAGACAGAATAATGAAAAGACGTGATATGATGATGTATTTATGCTATGCATTTTAAACAATCTGGTCATATGTATGTATATATAAATATATACATTTTTCAAGGTATTTCATTTGAAAATTAGTAAAGTTGGATTGAAATACAAGTTCAAATATACATAAGATGATAATTGTTAGTGGAGAGAGAGAGAGAATCAGAAATTGTCACATGACCCTAGGCCATAAAATATAACTGAAAGATTACTAAGGTTAATTTAAGGTTACAACCAAGTGTTTATAGTACACAGAAGGTGGGTTTGAATTCAAATAAATAAGTTGTTAGATGAAAATGTACCGTAAGGTATTTTAAAAAAAATTATCTTGAACATACACTAAGTAATGAAGAGATGAAAATAGATGTTAACATGATGCATTCTATTTCATCAGTTAGATTAATAAAGTCAATAGGTTTTAGATATATTCAACCACCATAAAAAAAGATTTTCAAAATCGAGTCAAGATAATCATGAGTTTCAATGAAATTATGAATCGATCATTGTTAGATCACCATTAGAAACCTGGAAGCACTGGGCAGCCGTTGCGTCTATTCAAAATGGTCTCATTAGTCGTGCTGTTTGGTCCGATTGGTCTTCTATGTAAGGTAGAATGATCCGTTTATTGGTTCCTGCACTTGAGTTCGCTTCTGTTGACGATTTCAGTAGATCTTTTTTCATAAAGTTGAGTGGATGGCCATTCTTTTGGAAGATGGTCATTAGATATTTTTCTTCAGTTTTTTGCGCTTCAAGTGTGCTGCAGTGTGTCTTCGCTCTCCTGAACAAAGTTTGTATGCAGTTGATTTTGTGAGTTCTTATGTTATTGTGACTACAGTTGAGGATTAGATCTGTGTGGGTTAGCTTTCGAAATACTCGCGTCTGCAGTTTCCCTATGTCAGTTCTGGTGATTAACACATCAAGGAATGATTGACTGTTGTTTGATTCCTTTTACATGGTGAATTTTATGTCATCAAAGATGTCTTTGACGACATTAATAACTCAATGAAATAGTTGGACAGATATCAGGTTCCAAATATAAAGTTTAGAAAAGCCTACCAAATGAAATGTTTTAATTATTTGAGTTTCAATCCATGAAATATTTTCAAATATTGCTTTTCTATTTATGTTCATTCAATTTAAACAACACATATTAAAATTATAATCGTTGTATAATTTTCAGAATTTGAACATACACATTATCCTGATGTATTTTCTCGTGAAAAATTATCCAATCGAATACTACTACCTGAAACACGTATACAAGTTTGGTTTTCTAATAGACGTGCAAAATGGAGACGTGAAGAAAAATTACGAATGAAACAATTAGCTTCAAGAAATCAACAAAAATCAATTCATCATCATTCTCATGAATATCATAATAATGACAATAAGATCATTTCATCCATAGCAAGTCAAACAATCACATCAACAACAAAATCTATTGTTAATACTACATCTACCATTGATATTGATGATAATAATTTAAAAAATAAAATCAATAATTCTTCCAGAACAATCGACATCAATCATTCAACTAGTTCAGTTTATTCTGACATTTCAACTAAGAATAACAAGAATACTAGTAATCTACATAGTATGACTAGTAGCATTGATCATGTATCCAATAGAAACATTGATTATGGATTAACTGATTTACTTAGATTACAAGATGAGCATAAAATTCAATCTTCTAAAGTTACTACTATAAAAGGTAATAAATTAAATGATTACTTAACATTATCATCTACCAGGTATTCTTCAACTAATGATTTATTAATTAAAAAGACTATGGATGAACGATATAATCATGAACATTTTCAACAACATCATCATAATCCTTTTTATCATCAAACAGAAGAAGAGAAACATTGGTCTTATTTACATCATCCACAACAACTCCAACTCCAACAACAACAACAACAACATGTTCAACTTCAATCACAAAATAATTTGAATCAATCATCCATGTTTGAATAATAATAATAATAATAATAATAATAATAATAATAATAATAATATACAAAATATAAACAAGAATTTTGTTTAAATTTAAAAATTTCATCAATATTTGAGAAAAACAAACAAACACCAATCACAAAAAACTAATAGACGATAAAAAAAAGAGAAAGCATTTAATTTTACTCAATGATCAATATTGTTTTCAATGTTCAATTTAATTTAATGTACAGTGATTTTGAAATTTATTTGAAAATGTATCTTTAATCTATTGGCGGGACGTGGGGGGGGGCATGGGGGTTATACTATGTTTTTGTTTGTGTTATGAAAATGTATTTTACAAATAATAATTAATGTAGATTTATTGGTCAAGTGAAGTGATTAGTGCATTATGAATTAGATTTCCGAATTTTGTTTCTTTAATAATCGATTCTTATATTGTAGTATGAGTAATTAAGTAAAACTGACGTACTTCAATTAAGTGAGTGGTCAAAATATCAAGAAATACATAGATTTTCTTAAAAATAATTACAGAATTCACGTCGATTTAAAGGTATAATTGAGTTTATACAGATAGTAATGTTATATGTGAATGGTAGAGAATAATACTATTTAATAATTTGAAACGATGCGGTCCAAAAATGATTTGGGTGAATATTTGTCACTAGGAATACAGCAATATGAGATACAAGTTGGGAACCATTATTTCATAGTTGGGGGAAAAGATACTTTGTAAACATTTGAACAATCTATCGAAAGTCGATTTCAATACCATACAGAAAAATTGTAGACATGTAAAACCAGAGAAAACAACACAAAACAGAGAGCGTAAAATGACAACAGCAAATTTGTTATATGGTCGATTGATTTTAAATAACCAGTGCCCGACCATTGCTACTACCATGACGTGGTGGTCGGATTTGCCCGTCGTTATGACCCAACTGAGGTATATTGGCTGGAACAATTTTTCCTTTAGGTCGTACCATGCTAGGCAGGCCGACTGACGAACGTTAGGACTAAAAGCAGCAACTGAAGGTCTGGGGTAGAAGTCGTATCACTGACTGCAAAGGGGTGTGACAGTCATAGGGCGTTTCCCTCGGAAAACAAGCATCTGCAGCGATACTGCCTTCTCACAAGGAAGTATGGAGTTAGAAGAGGTCGACCCTGAAAATGTCACAACTCACTTTACCTCACGGATTCCCGTTTCCGGGGGTAAGGCCTGTCAAACAAGAGCGGAGCTAACATTCTAAATGCTACCTGTGACCGGCCTCAAATACTTGTCCCTTAGGCTCTGCGGTCAAGCTCTCAGGTCTCTAAGACCAACACCAATATACCTTCCTTTCCAGGTTCCTCAAGAAGTACCCTTTCACGGTGTGGGCTGCCAAGAAATGAGATCCGCCCTCATACCTGTAACAACACACGAGACCAAATTCGTAGCAGTCAAATCCTCCCCTTTCCTCCTAACATCTCTCTTACCCCAACCACTCACCCTTCTCACATTCCTTGATCACCTCGCGCCGCTAGTCCAAACAATTCTTGTAGACGGAACTTTATTCCTAGTCTCCCGAAACTCCGCTTCAAACCATATATTGGAGCTTCTACATAGTCCAAATAGAATCGCCCATTTGACCTTACCACCTTGACTTAGGCTTCGTGTATCTGGAAGCCCCACCGCTGCCTTTCGTGGTCTAGCTGGTGAAGGCATAGCATTATGTTCTAAGGCAGAAATAGCTCTCTCAGAATGAATTATGGTAGACAGTCTATTATGCGCTATCCTACTAAATTGGACATTAAGGACTCGGAAAGTTCGGGACACTTGCCATTACCCCTGCCTACGCTCCTGCCAACTGCAGTTCGGACGAGGTAAAAGATTAGTTTCAAAGAAAGATTTCTCACCTACTTCAAAACATTAAGCGCTCTGATGTAGTAACAGTGGTGGGTGACTTTAATGTTCAAGTAGTTCACTTAAACGGAAAGGAAGGACACCTGGATAGATCTTATGGTGTAGGGGACTGAAAGAACAGCCATAGTCAGATAATGGCCTTTTTCTGGCACATACGAACTAAAAGCATCAGGAAAAACATATATTGACATGGCGACCCCTAAAATAAACTCAACGCTGGACCAAATTGCTATCGACCACTGATGAAGAGGCTTGACAGAAGACTGCCACTTATTCCGGAGCATACGTTTAGATTTAGATCATGCTCTAGTGAGAGAGCATATCTGTCTGCGTTTTACTACGCGTAAGAACGAAACAGTGAGGAAATACCTTGGAGTTATGCTTAACGAAAACAAAGCCGAGTGTATATTTCAGGAGAACTATAAAAACAGTTAGGCGGCCGAATAAGTGATTTCCATCCCGAGGCAGCATGGGACGATATCCAAAAGGCTATGATAACAGCAGTGGTATCTGCCAGCAAGGTAAACCAAAAGGTGAGGGAAAAGTAGTGGATCACAGTAACATCTACCGAAATGACAGATGCTCGGAAACTCAACCCGTCTGGATCTGAACTTGACGGAGAGCAAAGTCGGCTTAAGCGTAGTCTTATAAAAATCCTATGAAATAATCACGAGCAGTAGTGGGTAGCGAAGGCGAGAGAGATGAAAAACGTAATGGGGATAAGTAACAGTAAACAACTGTTCAGACTTATCAAGGAAACCGGTATTGGTAATTAGACTGCTAGCGAGACACTTGCAAAAAGGTGGGACTGTTATTTATTCTCGATCCAGGAAGTTGGATAGATGGACAGAACATTTCAGGGATTAGTTCAACTGGCCCTCAGCCACTCTTCGTTTCCCATGATCTCTCCAGCCAACCTGAATTACAAATCGATGTAAGTCCTCCGAGTCTTTATGAAGCTGAAAAAGCTATAGGAGATCTAATACGAGGTAGAGAAGCAGGGCGTGATAGGCTTACCCCTTACGTTTTTTCCTATTGGTCAGTATTCACGGTCGGCCTAACTGTATAAATATGCATTATCTGTAAAGTTTCATACTCCTCTTCTTCGTCTTCTGTACAAGAGCTCATATTTTCTGGGTGCTTGTAGAATACGTTTTCTATGTCATATAAAGACTTTTTGATACCGTCAGTGGGGCCTTGAGACGCTCAGATTGGAGTAGCCTATCGTGTCACTGGATCATTTTTCTTAGCTCTCGTTTACCAACTAAGCTGAACTCATAATACCATTTAAGCATATCAATGGACGAGCACAACAAAAACTGTACGACTCTAATCGTTACACTAACATTAAGTAGAAGTAATCTGTATAGCCACAACAAATAACTTATCCAAAATAGAAAGACATGAAACAAGCTACTGTTTTATTGCTTCAACTTAATACTAACAGAGTAAACTAAAAGGAAAATTATGTATCAATAAAAAGAAAATGATTGAATATTTACAAATTAAAATCTTTCTTAATAATTCAATATAAAAGAAAAAAAATGTATGCCAAATCTGAAAAAGAAAACTATTGAAATTAAACTGAAAAAAAAACCAAATAATAACAAAGAAAAACGTTGGCAATATTTCTTATTGAAACATTGAATACTCAAATAAATGCAAAGAGAAAAGTAACGATAACAGCAATAATAATAATAATAATAATAATAATAACGGATAAAACTGAAATTGGCCCCCCAAAAAAACGCATTATTTCAAAGTTCTTTTCAATGATAATCGACGCTTCGATATAATTGGTGTAGAATGTTGTGTTGGTGGTGATGTGATACTGGTATTAATCGATTGAGATGAACGTGATTGACGACGTTGACGTGTTTTCACTAAATCTGCTATACTCATATCAGAGTTATCAAATGAATCATTGGCAAATTGTGAATTTGACAATGTTTCTGAATCATAAGGAGGAGTTTTTATTTTAAATACATCAGACACCAGCTTCAATTGAAAAGGAGAAAAAAAAATACAGAAATGATCAGTTATGTTTATGTAGTAAGTCAATCAAAAATGGCTAAATGAAGCCGCTTATTAAATAACTAGAAACGTTCTAAAGTACAAGTATATATCATTGACCAAGAAATGGATTCATTTTCCAAGGAGATGGAATATATATATATATATTCTGTAGCCGAATTGACTTTCTTGCTCACAGGAATCAGTTTTTTTTGGAGGGGGGCTGGGAGGTGGTCAGCATGTATCAAATTCAGATCTTGGACACTGAACATTGTAAAAAATGTTACATATTTTATGAGATTAATTTTTTTTTTTGCAAAATACATGAATATTATATGACATGTCTGTAGGACACACTGAAGAGAAATAGTTCAAATTATAGGATCAAGTTATAATTTAGTGATTTAATCAGTCATAATTCATGTAGAACCAGGAAAATATGTTCATTGAACAAATTCGCTGTATCAAGTTAAAAAAGTGCGATGAAATCGTACAGATAATTAACAAGGAAGTCGAAGTAACATTAGTATCGATGTTTAAACAGTGTAGTAAAAATGGAAGGGTAAGGATTAGCAATAGGACTTCAAATTGAAACTTAGAATCTAGGGAAAAATATAAAGGTGAATATATTACAGTAAAACCGATTTCGAGCCATTTCGCTTAAATGTCTCAATCACCGACTACGATATGATTTAGGAGACAAGAACGAATCAGTGGAATAAAGGAGTGTAAGATAATTTCGGAACTCAAGATTCAAGGAACCATGAAGAGTGCAACCAATTCTGAACTACATCCCTCAAAGTTTCCAACCATTGGTTGCGGTGATCGCGCGGCTAAATAGAACCCTATTTTTCTGATTTACTGTCCTTCGAAGTAAGACTTACGGTCTCTTGATTTTTTTCTCTGAGGTTTAATATCTACGGGAGTCTGGAAACCAGCAAGCCTTTAGGACGTTGGTAGATAGACATTGGAAGATAAAATTTACCACAGATATCTAATATCGGTTAACAGAAGAACAAGTTGAAATGTAAAAAAAGGTTGATAAATCAAGACAGAGTATCCACCCATAGATCCATCTACTGTCAGTCTGAAATACGTCAGTAGGCATAGGACTTCTGTTTAGTCGCCATATAATACTGGTAATCAATGTTTGAAAATGTTCCATTCAATATCTATCTTCTCCTAAATATTGAAAAAAAACTGTCCTTTACAATTTCTTACACTTGGACCATATTTGTTCTTTTCAAACCGCAGTTTTTATTTGCAGATTTCGATTACTCTTGATATCATAACTCACCCTATTAACTACCATAGTGTCCAAAGTAGAATATATTCAAGTTCTCAACATAATGACAGTTTGTTAGATTTGTTTAACAGAAGCATATGGAGTAATTTAATACGATAAATAGATACAAAAATTTAATTAAAACAATTTTGAAATAATCAAAAACTAATTGTGTACTTTATGGAATATTCATCATATTATGCCAATTGAACGAATCGACCAACTTACATTTTCTTTTTCTTCCATTGAACTATTTAAAATATCTTTAGGTGATTGAATAAATTCAAAAATTTCTTTATTATTCGAAAGCTCCAATGAATTATCTTGTTTATTACTATGTTGTGAACTACGTAGACGTTTAGCTTTTGGTTCAGGTGTAATACATAATTCTTCAGTAATTAATAATGGTAGCATAATATTAGAAGTTGGTGATTTTATCATCTCAACAATTTCGGATTGTTTAATTTCGTTAGAAATAGATTTGTCCGGTTGAACATTTGTAGAGGATGCTGTTTTTTTTAATCCAGATAGATTAGAACGAGAACGAGTTTTTCGTGATAGACCAGTACGTGATGCACTACGATTAGGAAGAGTTCGAATGTAAGAATTCTAAAAAATTCAAGAGAAAATTATTTTAATGATTTTACTGCTATCATATTATAAGTAATTAATATTTCCACATCGGATAAATCTATCGTACATAGATGCATTTAAGTATTTTAAACAATTAATGATTAATATTTTCTAATATCAATTAACAGCCACTATTAAAGTGTTGCCATAATTTGAACAGATTCACTGAATACTTGTGAATCCCAATGTTACTACTCCAACTGAAACTTGAATGTAGTAGCCTCTTGATAGAATTATCAAAGAGTGTTATCCCTATCGGCGGTTAGTCTACTGAATTATATTTTTCACCTATCTGTAGCAAAATTACAAGCTTCCATAAAAACCACGACAAGAAACATACAGTTGAAAAGTAATGAATAAAGGAAGGTGAACGGTGTTCTGGACTCAATTATTACTTAGAATCAAATATACAGTAGAAAAAAAGTCCAGTTTCGTTCAATAAACCTACATAAATAGATAGATGCAGAGAATTTTAGTATTGCCGATTAGAACTAGTTAATTCTAAAGGGTAAGTTGTTTCTAAGCATTCTGATAGATTTTATGGTTAGGTAATATAATCATACGTTAACTTGATACACTTTTACATAGCAACAAATTATGATGTAAGACGTTGTTTAAGATCTGACTTAAGTAAATATTCAACAATTCATTAATTATATTTTGAAATCAACCAGATATGATAGATGCTACTTACAAAAAGCGGTATATAAGTAATATGTGGCGTAGTAATGCTTACACCTTACTAGCAGAGAGAGGAATAACAGATTGAAGTACGTGGAATGATCAGTGTAGTTTGAAGGCAAAAAGACAATCAATAAATAATCTGCTTATTTTTTAAATGGAAGACTGAAGATAAAGATGTACACATTTTGTTGAAAAAACCGGCGTTTTCTTTAAATATAGTTGACTTCACACCTGTTCCGAACTTCTTTGTACATCATAATACCGTGTGAATACAACACTAATGTTTGAGGTGAATTTCGGTGAATGATTTATGGAGATTTTTAAAAAAATTTCAAGATAGTTTATCATATAGTTCTAATTCGTAAATGAAACGGTCAACCACCGATAATATTCGATCATGGATTAGGATAGCAGTCAACTTTATCCTTTAATCTCAAGATACCGGTATTCAACTTGAGATAAGTTTGTTATTGTTTCATGTATCATGTAAAAAGGATACAATAAATGATGAATTTTAAAAATGTTTTTAATATGAATACAGTTGTTGATAGGCATTTAAAATCTTACAAAAACACTGGTAAGTGTTATCCTTTCAGAAATAAGATACTCCATAATCCAATCATGTTATTTTCTCAGTGTATTTTGTGACTCTTGAACATACAATCCTATTAGTCATTGCTAAACAATTGATCTTTTGATATGAAAAAAACTTTTGTTTGACAAAACTTTATGATCGGTGTGAAATGTTGCGTTGGTGATGATGTGGAAGTGGTACTAATCGATTTAGATGAACGTGACTGACGTTGACGAGATTTTCACTAAATCTGCTATACTCATGTCAGAACTATCAAATAAATCATTGGCAAGTTATGAATTTGACAATGTTTCTGAATCGTAAGGAGGAGTTTTTATTTTAAATATATCTGCATGGAGAATACAAAGAGCTTATTGGAATATTTTGTGCTGAGAATTTCACAGTGCACTAAATATATATAGTACTGATTAGAAAAGAATGAAGAGACTACACAACGTTTTATTATTTTCCATGATTCTCTTCAGAACAAACGTTAAATTGTATATTTCGTTTATCTATCCTTCCCAATGATTTAATTTTTAAATAAAATAGTAAGGTAAAAAAACACAAGAAATTTAAGTAAAAATGCAAATTTAAAATCATTAATTATCACTTATATATAAGATAAAATATAATGAAATAAAACTAGCGCCTTTGTTTAATAACATACAGTAGTAGTTTTTGGTGTATTGTTGTTATCTGACGATTGTTCACAGTCAATAGCAGCAGTTGATACAAATCGTTTAATTGGAGTAAAATTCTAATAATGAAAGAATAGAATAGTCAACTAGTGATTAAATTTTATGCAAACAATCAAGTTTTAGGATTAACAACAAGTAAAGCTTAAACATGCATACTACATAGCTAATACAAGAACTACTACTGACAGCCCAGATAAACTCCCTCTCTCTTTTCTCAATCTTAATTAGCTAATACCACAATAATATGTACATAAACAGTGAGAGTTCATTAACTTTTGGGCGATAAATAATAGTTTATTTTCTGTTGATTTATGTCATAGGAATATTTTGTCTTGTGAATGAAGTATTGGATATTAACTATTATCACAGAATTGATGTAAGTTTATAGTTTAAACATTCATAACTAAATGGTGCGTAT